GTTGTCTGCAGCTGACAGGAAACACGTTCACGGTTTGAGGACCAGTGTTGGGCACGTTACTTTGAAAAAGTAATTAGTTATAGTTACTAGTTACTTCTCCCAAAAAGTAACTGAGTTACTAACTGAGTTAATCCACTATAAAAGTAACTAGTTACCAGTAAAAGTAACTATTGCGTTACTTTTTCGTTTTGTTCTGGAACATAATGTGCACTCGACGTGCACATGTTGACCTTTAACCTCAGTGAGTCTGAAATAGTGCCAATATTTCCATGTAGAAAAGTGTGTTTTTCTTCATCTGTCTCTGTGCTGTAAGCACTTAACACCAACACGCTCCACTGTGAATGTGGAAACACCAAGCACTGACTTCAGCCCAATCAGATTAACATATATATCATAGAAATCAACTGGACAATTTGTTTGGCTACAGCAAAATATGTTATTCCCACCACTGTTGAGGACACGAAAACACGAAACAGACCCGAGTCAAGCTAACGACTAGCATTAGCATTAGCATTAGCATTAGCATTAGCACTAGCATCAGCATTAGCATTAGCATTAGCATTAGCATTAGCATTAGCATCAGGCTCCGACTGGGGGCGGGTTTGACTCAAATCTCGGCATTTCGTCCCGAGCAGAGGGAAATATTCACAGATAAATGAGTGATTATTGTCGGTAATCACCGTCAGGTCACGGTTAGGGCTAATAACAGTTCATTAGTTTAAGGTTAGGTGTAATAAGTTATGGGTTAGATGAGCTCGTTTACTGCAGGAGGAAATGCCAAGATGTGAGAGAGACACAGACAAACTTAAAGCTGGATTCCCGAGGCCCACAGTCTGTTAGTGGTGAATAAAAGAGGTTTAAAGCTTTGTTCTTACATCTGTGCTGTGTGGAGAGGTACAGTCTATGGTGGAGAGTGATGTGCTGAGCCGAGTCTTCAAAGCCTGTACCGAGTAATCAAGGGGAATTCTTTAATAAGTGTGGGTCGAGCGCAAGCCCCGGCGATCCAAGATGGCGCCCTATTCAAATGAATGGTTGTGCTCAGTGGCGCTTTGTGACGGCATGGGGGCTGAAAGATTAGCGGAAGTTGCCTGAAACTCGCAAAGATCTATGGGAAACTCGCCTGTATTTGGGCATCGTCTGGTCCTCCCGGTTCTGCGCAGTGGATGATCTCCCATAATGCGTTGCGCCAAACACGCGTGTGTGGGTCTCACACCGGGTCTCACGCACGTGCACAGAGGGGCTCGGCCGCGCTCTGACCAATCAGAGCAGTTCATCAGAGCGGGAGTTAGAGAGAGAGCCAGAGGAGCAGAGTTTGTGGCACTAAAGTGTGGATTTAAACAAAACCGAAGGATTTAAGAAGAAAAAAAGTTCAGGATGACAAGGGACACTAAAATCCCCACAAAATCCGATCTTTATTAAAGCTGTAGGTTCTCTGTCAGCTGAGGTTGAGCTGTTTTAATATGCATTGAGTTCTATGGGGAAAATTTCTGGGTGGCCCACGTGAATTTAGCCTGGTTCAGTCTGCAGTACCGCGAGAATCCCCTGAGCACGTGAGTTATTCAGCTACAAGCTAGTAATACCCTATCCAGTTAATATAATACATCCATGGTCGAGCGAGGCGTGAGAGAAGGGTCTGTCTGCAGCCTGCAAGACAGAGGCGTGTCGTGACGTCACTGCAAGACACGCCCACTACACCAATGAAGTTAAAGGTCCTATATCACGCTTTTCTTCATGTTTCACACTCAGTCCTATGCACATGTGTGATATTAATGTGTATGATACACCACACAACAATCAAAGCTTGTGAGATTAGAGCCATCTCTTGTATAGAGGTGACGTCACCTGGACTCAAACGAGCTGATCCAGAGTCTGCTCCTCTGCCTGTGAGCCCGCCTCCCCCCGCCCGCACGGTGACGTAGCATCACGCTTTTGTCGTTTATCACTTGTACTTAGTAATTTCATACATAAGAATAAACTTTTTCCAACAAGGACAATCCGTCACATCGAGCCCTATGTCCTCGATGCACAATCAGACCCTAGTTATTTAGTTTACAGAAGTATACAGCGAGTTAGCGTCACTACTTACAGATCGAGGGGGTCCGAGTTACGTCTTTTACCGTGGGAATAACGTGTTTCCAGATCAGCTTTTGAGTAAGTCCAGTTCCATTGTCCCTGTAGTTCTGGAACAGTCTCAGTGAAGTGTCGCAGATGAACCGGTATTATAATAGATCCATGAGATGAACAGATGAAAAAAGTCGAGCCGCTTTCTTCCTCTTAGGGCCAAATAGTGTGTCACATATTTACACCCATAACACACTTCATTCAAGTTGACGTGATCCTAACACTTTTAGTTGCTGACAAAAGCATAAAAACAGCAGCTCTATGTGGTGTCCGCGAGACCAGACCACAGACGCTGGACTCGGGAGCCGGAGCCTGTGCGCTCTGATTCGCTGTTTTGATCCGTCAATCACCTCCCGTCGGCTTTTAATTAATATTTATTTTTATTATTTTTGACAAAAAACAGCATACTAATTGTGTATTGTTTACCCCGTTTGGACAAAAGTATTTAACAACTATTTTAAATACAAAGCAAACGGGGTCATGCGCGTCATCAGTGTGGTTTTCGTCACTGAAGTGGACCCGAGCGTTTCTGTGCCTCACGCTGGGGAAGGAGACAGATTGCTCTCTTATAAAAGATTGACAGAATCAATGAATAAACTACTGTGGGCTTGTGTATGAAGGCCAAATAGCATTGAAATCATGTTTAAAGCAGAGAAAAGTCAAAAACCGTGATATGGGCCCTTTAAAAACCTTATGCCGGGTTTAAAAAAAAAAAATTGTGGATATCAAAATTGCATGACAATGTCGATCTGAAATAGATTCCGACAAAAAAAATCCTATATTTTATAAAAAGAACGTGTTTTTCATGAATTTAAGCTGTCTATGCTCTAACCTGTGTGTGACGTCATAGTGGGTAACGCCCATGCATTGAAAACCATGGATCTATGCCACAGGACTGCCTTTTCTCTCTTCTCTCCACTGATGCCCAACACAATACTGCCCTCTACAGGTGACAATTGCTCACTACACATAAATTGCCGTTTTGAGTGTGAAAAAGTGTCTGAGGCGGGATTTGAACCCCAGCATCTGGATTGGCAGTCCATCGACACAACCGCTCGGACTAAAATGGGGCAAAAGGGACTGCCATGGGGGGGGAAAAGGGGGGGGGGGGGGGGGGAAAAAGAAAGGGAGGGGAGGGGGGGAGAAGGGAGAAAAAGAAAAAGAGAAAAAAGGAGGAAAATGTGCACTACATACATTATTTTCTTCTCCATTACTTTCTCTCTCATGTTTACACTCACTTCATCACTTAAAGCAAGGTGTATCATCACTTCAATTTGTATGTTTCTTGTGGGATTCGATCCTGCAACCTCCCCAAGTAACACAGCGCTGTGGACGTTTATATGGCCCACCAGGTGGCAGTATCAACAAAACAATGTATTCACCGTGTATAACTGAGTGTGGATGTGTTGGGTTATGAGAATAAATATATAATAATAAAAATATATATAAATATAATAAGTGTTTCTGGCTTCTGTTTTTGAGGCTCACTCACAGACAGAGAGAGAGACACACTCTCCTGTTTTTAAAGGAAATGAAATAAACAACGAGGATCATCTGGTATAAGATATCAATAAACTTTATTGTAACATTAAACAACAGAGAAAACTAGAAACCAGAAAGCAGACAGGATGAGTAGAGAGACACACACACAATAGACACACACACAGAGACACATGGAGAGGCACAGAGAGAGACACAGAGATACACAGAGGCACAGAGACACACAGAGACACAGAGAGACAGAGATACACAGAGACACAGAGACACACAGAGAGACAGAGAGATACACAGAGAGACAGAGAGACACAGAGATACACAGAGAGACAGAGAGAGACAGAGAGAGACAGAGAGACAGAGAGATACACAGAGACAGAGACAGAGACACAGAGATACACAGAGAGACACAGAGATACACAGAGAGACACAGAGAGACACAGAGATACAGAGAGACAGAGAGAGACAGAGATACACAGAGATACACAGAGAGACACAGAGATACACAGAGACACAGAGATACACAGAGAGACACAGAGATACACAGAGACACAGAGATACACAGAGAGACACAGAGAGACACAGAAATACACAGAGAGACACAGATATACACAGAGAGACAGAGAGAGACAGAGATACACAGAGAGACACAGAGATACACAGAGAGACACAGAGATACACAGAGATACACAGAGACAGAGAGAGACAGAGATACACAGAGAGACACAGAGATACACAGAGAGACACAGAGACACACAGAGAGACAGAGAGATACACAGAGATACACAGAGAGACAGAGAGACACAGAGATACACAGAGAGACACAGAGAGACAGAGACACAGAGAGACAGAGAGAGACAGAGACACAGAGATACACAGAGAGACAGAGACAGAGAGACAGAGATACACAGAGAGACAGAGAGAGACAGAGACACAGAGATACACAGAGAGACAGAGACACAGAGATACACAGAGAGACACAGAGAGACACAGAGATACAGAGAGACACAGAGATACACAGAGATACACAGAGAGACACAGAGATACACAGAGAGACACAGAGATACACAGAGAGACAGAGATACACAGAGAGACACAGAGAGACACAGAGATACACAGAGAGACAGAGATACACAGAGAGACACAGAGAGACACAGAGATACACAGAGAGACAGAGATACACAGAGAGACACAGAGATACACAGAGAGACAGAGATACACAGAGAGACACAGAGATACACAGAGAGACAGAGATACACAGAGAGACACAGAGAGATCAAAGCTTATTCAGACTGGTAAAACAAACACCTAAAACACAGTGCAATATATTCTTAGAAAACTATTCACAAATAATATAACAAATAAAAAATGAAAAAACAGTGTTCTCAGTTGAGGCTCCTCCTCCAGTCTTCCAGGGTCAGACCTGAGGCCGGACAGTACCACCGCCCTTTCACCTGCGTGTGTCCTGTGGTCTTGCTCTTGTTCTCACCACACTGCTTGCAGGTGTAGTGGTACTTTTCTTTGGCCAACCTCTTCTTCGATGGTTCGCCCCTTAATGCTCGCTCCTCATCCTCCTGGGCAGCTTTATTCAGCCTCCATGCACGCTGCCTTGGCTGAGAGGGAAGGCCTGCTGGAGGCTGCTGCAGCGGAGGAGCCTCGGGACACGGAGGAGCATGGGGGAGTGGAGGAGCTTGTGAAAGTGGAGGAGCATATTGAAAAGGTGGAGCATGGGGGAGTGGAGGAGCTTGTGAAAGTGGAGGAGCATATTGAAAAGGTGGAGCATGGGGGAATGGAGGAGGATAAGGGTATTGGGGGTGCAGATGTGGAGGAACATGGGGAAATGGAGGGTGATGTAAATGAGGGGCTTGCTGGAGAGGAGGAGCTGGTCCATATTGTGAAGGGAAAGGGGGAGGTGGTGGATGAGGCACAGGTTGGCTGGGTCCTGCAACATTTCGCTGGCGGGGGAAAGCTTCTCCCTCACGATTCTCAGGCTCTTCAAAAGTCATCTCCTGAGCATGTGGTTCAGGGGCAGCAGGGAGAGTGCTCACTGAAGGCAGAGGCTCCTTGGCCTGGTGCAGCTGTTTTGGAAGAACAGTGCCCTGCAGAAGCATGTCCCTGTCCTTCCTCTTGTCCCTCCTGAGCAGCCTACAAGACAAACATTCATGATTTGATACAGATGAACCTGTCCTCCATAAGGTCATTACACAGTTTATTACACTGAAGATACATCTTTACACTGTGGTGACTGTTTGGGAAAGGTACATTTGTATTTGTATTCATATGTTCCTTTGATGATAGGTTTCCTCTCATTACATTGTTCACACAATGATCATTTGAAAGTTACATATCATTTAAACATTGACATGAAAGGAAAGGCGCTGGTAAGAAGGAAACAGTTCTTATATTGTTCTGTTTGTTTTCAACTTCATACAAACATGTGCTGTGATAAATAAAACAACACATACCATGAGGAGACAGTGGTGTTGTTGACTGGTACCAGCACCACGTTGGTCTGACCCAGGACCACCCTGCTGTCCTCCAGCAGCTGTCTGAGGTGGCTGTAGACGCTGACGATGGACTGTGGGATGGGCATGGTCTTGCCCTTTACGTCCTTTGGCCTGTTGCGTGCCTGATCAAACTCTTTGGCCAGTCTGAGGCAAACACACTCACTGACTCTGTTTGCTTCAGGGTCCTGAGCTGCTTGGCCATGAGTCATGTACAGTCTGTGGGAGAAAAACATCATATGTTTTGGACTGAACAAGTATGTAAAGTCATGCAGAACCAAGGGACAATGTGAACAGGGAATGCGATAACAGAATTTGAACGTAACATGGTGACATGTCTCTATGTCAATGATTAGCATTGAACCAAGAGGAGAGCAAGTTGTGGTCAAGCACCTTTCTGCCGCCTGCTGTCCTGGAGCAGAGCCACTGGGCTTTCTGGGTGCTCTCCATGGTCCTGCTGACACCTGTCCCTTCTTTTTACCCTTCTGGCTGTACCTAAACAGTGACAAAGACATCCATATGCTTCATTCGCTCAATGGAATGTATGTATAATCATGGAGTACATAATCATTACTCTTTGTACCTTGAAGGTGTCTTGTCCATGTCATGGAGAGCTGTGTACAGACGGACTATGTCTGCCTCCTCCTTGGCTGACAGAGCAGTGGTGGTGCGGTTCAGGCCAACGAGATAGGCTGCCAGGGCGTCCACACTCTCCCATCCCACAACACCTCTGGAGTCACATTGGCTGGTCTGAAAAGAGACAAAACAAGAAAATGAATGTCTCTTTCTATGTGTGCAATGGTGCTTTCACATTCATTTATGTTCTTCAAATGTAACCACATTTCACTCAGGCTAGCATTGTGTTTTTGAGAAAGTGTTATTGACCTTGGGTGTGACAGGTTCAGTGGGTTCAGTGTCCCCCTCCAACAACTGGTCCCTCGCATCACCAGCCAACAGCTCTGGCATGTGTATGGGGGCATATGCCTCCTCCTCCTCCTCCTCCTCCTCCTCCTCAAGCACCTGTGAGGGGTTTTCAGGGGCAGGTGCAGGAGCAAGCAGGTCCCCTCTGTTGGTCTGGCCCAATAAATACTCCACCGCCGTGCGCTCGTCTGAAACCAGTATAAACACAAACACAAGATGACCAAAGTATATAAACACATCCATCCATTGACCTCCTACAGTTAGACCTCAGGTTCATCTTTGCCCACGTTCTTATAACGGGTGACAATGCCCTGGCACAGCTCTTCCAACCCTGCACCTTCACCCGTCGTCAGAACAGAGTTCAGAACCTGCCCAAACTCGTTACCGATGTTTGTCATCCATGCAGCGCTGCCCCCTATTCCACCAGCCAGCTTCTTGGTGACCTGTAATCCAAACACAAGAAGTAAATACATTTATCTTTTGTAAATATATATGTTACATTTCATTTTTTTAATTATTATTATTGAAACCCTAACCTTCTTGGTCGAATCCATCTTAAGAATTCTACCATACTGTAGGTAGAAGTGATGACTCCCTTCATTTCCTGCAGATGGCTGAGGATGTCGTTGGAGTGGACAGTCTCAAACCACTGAGCAAGTGGAAGGGGCCTAAAGGGCAGTGGAAGAGGATAGGCAGCTGCAGAGGGGACAAAGGTAGCCATCTTCTGATGGCTCTCACAGTCCGAGAGGTATCGGATGGCCTGACGTGCCCACTCCTCGCTGTGCACTTCCTCTATTGCCGCTTGGAAGTAGGAGGAGCTGTTTCCACTGGTCCTCGGCTTCAGGAAGGTCATACATTTCCTGTCCAGAGCCAGGTGTGTAGTGAGGACAGCGGGAAACATGCTCCTGTGGGCTACATCCAGCTGCGAGAGGATATCCTGGCTCCATGGGCAGACCGGCAGAGCGCACTTGTTGCAACGTGGATAGTCTCCTCCCACCAGGTAGTAGCGACTATCCACGTCAATCACCTCTCTCACCTTCCTGTAGATGCCCGAGCTGTTCATCTTTCGGGAACATTGAGGGCATTTTAGAGGAATCCCCCACATCCTCATTGGTGCCCAGATGAACAGCCTTTGTCTACAGTACCAGCCAGGCTCAGGAGAAGATGGTTTGGGCTCTAGAGGAGGGTAATACCAGGAGGTTTGGAGCTTCTGTTTTAATTGTCCTGTAGGTCCATAAAGGCACTTAGCTATCCAGACCTGATCTGCTTCCTGGATCACTCTCCTAAATGGCTCAGGAAGAAAGCCTTTCCAGTTAATGGATGGTGCTTTGAACGGAGTGTGGGGTGGCATGGCAGAACTGCATGAGGGGAGCGGAGATGGTGCTGGTGATGGTGCTGGTGATGGTGTTGGAGATGGTGTTGGAGATGGTGTTGGAGATGGTGTTGGAGATGGTGTTGGTGGCAACACAGTTGGTTTTTGTGGGGATGGCTTCATGAGTGCCGCATAATGAGCCTGTTGGATGTGAGTCAGAAGACCAACAGCACCCTGCACCTTGGCCCCGCAGCTGTCACAGGTCTCCTCCGTGTGATGGTCAAGCAGATGCTGTGAAAAGTGCTCTCCATCCACAAGCTGCTTGCACTGGAAGCACTGCACTCCGGGTGCTGCAGCTGATGCTCCTGCCTCTGTGTCTCCTCGGACTCCCTCTTCCTCTGTGCTGACTCGGATGGACGCAGCAGCCCCACTGGACGCAGCAGCACCACTGGACCCAGCAGCACCACTAGACCCAGCAGCAGCACTGGTCCCAGCCCGACTGGACCCAGCAGCACTGGACGCAGCAGCACCACTGGACGCAGCAGCACCACTGGACGCAGCAGCACCACTGGACGCAGCAGCACCACTGGACGCAGCAGCACCACTGGACGCAGCAGCACCACTGGACGCAGCAGCACCACTGGACCCAGCAGCACCACTGGACCCAGCAGCACTAGACCCAGTGCCTGATGACAGATGTGCTGGCTAGGAGAGAGCACAGAAAATCAACACCAGAGGAAACAGCAAACAATCAATCAATAAGTAAATAATGAGTCCTACCTTGTGGAACCCGCAGGTGCACTGAAGGCTTCTCCCAAACAGATCCTTCGTGTTGCTCTGCAGGGGGCAAGCATCGATCCTCTCCAAGGCGTTCTTCCATTTTTTTGGCCCCTGGCCGTTTGCCAGTGGAAAAGTGGTAGAGGCCCTGGGCATATATGGCACAGATGTCCCTCCAGTAACTCTCTGGCTTTCCTGTCTTCGTCATCTGCATCCATTGAATATAAAAGTGGTTAGTGTCAAACTACACGTGAATAGTTAGCCATGTGCAGCAGAGTAGATATCAAACCAAAGTCACTAAACATGAATAAATGACCATGTTAAGTAGCCATGTGTAGCTAGTGTAGCTAGTGTAGTGAATACACTACAGTAAGTAGCTATGTATTGGAGATATTGATTCTGGGGCAGATCAACCGTTGGCTCTGCTCAGACACATGACAAAGAAATAAACACTGTGGCACACATCAAGGGCAAAATCTGAGCTCATATTGTATATTGTTCATCATTTTCCTGTTGTGCACCTTTTTGTGAAGCTCTTTTGTCAACAACAGTTGTTAGTAATGTGCTATATAAATACATTTGTTTTGATTTGATGACCAGGCTCTATTAAAGAAAAAATACTATTCCTCTGACCAGCAATAATAATAGTCATTTATAGTGTGGAATCTATGTGTGTTGGACTTTGGAGCTCTGTAATTACTGTATTACTGCTAAACATAATTATCTGAAGGTATTTGTTCTAACCCACATTGCTACTAGTCATTAATGCGTCAATAATATCTAAGTGATGACGTCTCTGTTCTCATCCACATTGACACACATCATATTCAAAGTTCTGTCTGCCTTTGTTCATCTGGAAGGACTCGTAAATAACCTGTAACTGGGGTTACAGTAATAAGAATAATAACTGGGGTTACAGTAATAAGAATAATAACTGGGGTTACAGTAATAAGAATAATATCTGGGGTTACAGTAATAAGAAGAATAACTGGGGTTACAGTAATAAGAATAATAACTGGGGTTACAGTAATAAGAATAATAACTGGGGTTACAGTAATAAGAATAATAACTGGGGTTACAGTAATAAGAATAATATCTGGGGTTACAGTAATAAGAATAATATCTGGGGTTACAGTAATAAGAATAATAACTGGGGTTACAGTAATAAGAATAATATCTGGGGTTACAGTAATAAGAAGAATATCTGGGGTTACAGGTGCGATCGCGGCTGTTCTCTACAATAGTAATAATATAGTAATAATGGTAATAGGAATAACAGTAATAAGAATAATAGCCACACAGTGCTAATACGTACACAGTCAGAAGTTAGGTTTGAAAAGCGGCTCCGAGACGCAAAAGTTGAAATATAAGTTTAATAACATGCTAATACGATAGTTTTTTTCCCACAGTTTAGCATTGGGCTAATATGTGGTGTTTACGTTCGGCTCGTGTGGGATCGCGATGATATTCAGTTTATATGAGGCGTTTGTGAGAACTAATGAAGTGTCATCACTTACCGTTCTCTCGCTGTATGTGCCGTAATAAAGATGGCGGTGACTCCAAACTTTTCCATTCGCTCTAGACACGCCCCCATTTTCGTCAGGTAACGTCACGTGACCTTCTGTATGTTCGGACTGCGTTCGGACTTTGCCGAAAAGCCTTTGATCTCGTTCGGATTGTGTTCGGACCTCGTTCGGCCCTTTTGTTATGTGTTAGGACCTTGTTCGGACCTGGAGACAGTCCATTTACTGGAGGGTACGGACTATCTCAGTGACAACGAAGTGTTACATTCTAGTAGTAATTTCACACTCGCTGTACACATCTTGAATATCCGCGAAAAAAGAACGAATACCAAATTGTAAACAACTTACAGCGTTGAAACGTACCCACTCTGACGTCACCAAGGGCTGTGAAGTTTTTTTGTCTCTAAGGGCGTTGCTATGGGGTTATTTCGATTTGGGGGGATCAGACAAAAAAAAACAACTGATTTTGAAACTTTTAGTAGTTCTCTTCTAATATAAAATGGTATTAAAACTGCATTTCTAAATAAATCAAACCCGGCATAAGGTCTTTAATATTTTTGCCAGGATTTTAACATCTACATTCAAAAGACTAATTGGCCTTTATCTTTATCTTTTTTATGGATGACAAAAATAGTTGCTTGATAAAATGTTGGCGGGAGCTTACCAAGAGTCATGGATTCGTTATAAACTTGGAGTAACCTGGGAGCCAGCTCATCAACAAAAGATTGATAAAATTCAGTGGTAAAACCGTCAGGACCAGGTGCCTTTGATGTCTGTAAAGCTTTGATTGCCCGTTTAACCTCATCTAGAGAGATAAGACTTTCCAACTAGTCTTTAGATTTCTGAGTTATTAAGGGAATGGGTAGATCATTGAAAAAAATTATTTAACAGAGTAATATCCCCTTCAACTTCAGATGAGCACAAATCTTCATAAAACTTTTTAAATTCCCTGTTTATTTCTCGTTGGTCAGTAGTTAAAGTGCCCAGATTTGTTATTACTTCTAAAATGTGTTTTTTCTCCTCCATAACTTTAATCTGGTGAGCAAGTAGTCGGCCGGGGTTTTCCCCATGTTCATAGAATCAATGTTTTGTTTCTTTTATTAATTTCACTGCTGAAGCTGAGGATAACAAATTGAATTCAGCCTGCAGAGTAATACGTTTAGCCAAAATATCTGGCTCTGGGTTGGTGGCATGCTGGTGATCCAAGGTTTGAATTTGTTCAGTTATTAACTGTTTCTCCTGTTTTTCCTTCCTATATTTTAATGCACTCTGAGATATCATTTGACCGCGAATAAAAGCTTTCATTACTTCCCAAAGAGTTTCCCTTGAAATTTCTGTGGAATCATTTGTTTCAAAATAGAAAGATATCTGAGATTTAATATACTGCCTGGGTGACTCTTCTGCCAAACTCCTGTTATCCATTCTCCAATTTTTGGATCCATTCAGTTTAGGGAATGAAAGATTTAATATTAATGGTCCGTGGTCTGACAGCACTATAGCCTCATATTGTATTGTTTTGATTATGGGTAACAATTTAGAATCTGTCAAAAAAAAAAAAAAAAAAAAAATCAATCCTCGAGTAAGAATTATGCCGCGGGGAGAAAAATGAATATTCACGCTTAGTGGGATTTATGTGCCTCCATGGGTCTACTAAGTCAGAAGATTTTAAAAATTGCTTAATCAATTTAGCAGATTTGGTCAAACTCTGTTGTTTATTTGATGATCTATCAAGTAACGGGTCAAGCACAAAGTTGAAATCTCCGCCCATAATCAGACTATGACTGTGTATATCCGGAAGGGATGATATTATAGACCGTATAAAGTGTTCGTCGTCATGATTGGGTGCATATATGTTAGCCAGAATAACTGGTACATTACAGAGTTTCCCAGTTACTATCACATATCTACCTTGTGGATCTAAAATGGGTTCATTGCAAAAGATGTATTCTTCCTAATCAAAATAGCCACACCCCTAGACTTTAGGTTAAAACTTGAGTGGTATATGTGCCCAATCCAAGTTTAGCGTAAGTGTGTATGATCACGGTTTTTGAGGTGGGTCTCTTTTAAAAACATAATACTTATGTTACTACTTAAACTAAATTATGTTAACAGCATTTAAATTATGAGTTTTTGAACCTGATACCGTCGTGTATCATACATTAAACTAAGAAAAAAACCCAACTGTATTTACATCAATCGCTAAACTTGGCTCATATCAGCCCCAAGAAAAAACAAACACAAAAGTCATTCACAAGCCATACCAATCAGGTCCGCGCTCCTCTCCCCGAGTAGTAGTGATGAGCTAGGCGACATTATTCAGTCTTACTTCACATGTTGTTGGTAGGACTCGGCTGCCTGAGGTGAGTCAAATGAATGTCTTTCTCCTTTCACTGTGACAACCAGCTTCGCAGGGAAAAAGAGGTTGCATGACACTCCATCGCGGAGCTTTCTCTTTATGTCGTTGAAGGCTGCGCGCATCTTTCCCACCTCAGGAGTCATGTCAGGGAAGATGTGCACCTGTCGCCCGTCATACAGAAGTTTTCCCTTGGCTTTGGCTAGATCTAGTATTTTCTGTCTATCCGAAAAGTAGTGAAAACAAGCCACTATCGAGCGTGGTCTGTCTTCCCCTTCTCCGAGTCCTCCGCAACCCCAACGAACCTCAGATTACGTCTCCGGCTCCTGTTTTCGAGGTCCGCGAATTTTTCTTGGAGTCTTGCATTTCTTGGTCATAAGCTGCTGGTTGTGCTCCTATGCGGCGACTATCGATCGTGTCGCTTAACGTGTTCCCCATGTCTTCCATCTGCCGCTCTTAGTAGCCTTAGTAGCCTCTGCTTGTTTGTTGCTAAGTTTAGCTAGCTCCCCAGTTAGCTCCTCACGAAGGGTTTTAATATCTGCTCTGGCATCATTGCGCAGGGACAAAATGTCCTCTTTGAGATCCAAAATCTGCGTTCCAATATCCATCTTTATGTCGTCCCGGTGTGACAGGAGTTCACGGCGGAGAATCAAGTGTAGAAACAGCAGCAGTTTCAAGACTTTGTGGGGAATCCACGTCCGCCATTTTATCCTTGCCCACGGTGTAGGATGCTATGGACTTTTGCGTCTGAGATAGTTGTTTATTTCCTCCTTTCCGTGAGCTTCGCCTCATATCCCTCAACGCACAAACAGACTTAATAGCCGGAGTTAACTCTTTTGTTGGTTCTATTAGTTTTTAAATGCTGTATTTATCAAGGTGCGATGGGAGCACAGTCTCAGAGATGCTACTCCAATGCTACCCGGAAGTCATCCTCCCATATATATATATTATACATATACACAGTGGGGCATAGTCAGCCACCGATTGTGCAAGTTCTCCCACTTAAAATAATGACAGAGGTCTGTAATTTTCATCATAGGTTCACTTCAACTGTGAGAGACAGAATGTGAAAGAAATCCAGGAATTCACATTGTAGGATTTTTAAAGAATTTATTTGTAAAGTATGGTGGAAAATAAGTATTTGGTAGTAGTAGTAAGTAAAACAACTTCTTTAAGAAGTTCTTCTGTCCTCCACTCGTTACCTGTATTAATGGCACCTGTTTGAACTGGTTATCTGTATAAAAGACACCTGTCCACAGCCTCAAACAGTCAGACTCCAAACTCCACTATGGTCAAGACCAAAGAGCTGTCGAAGGACACCAGGAAAAGAATTGTAGACCTGCACCAGACTGGGAAGAGTGAATCTACAATAGGCAAGCAGCTTGGTGTGAACAAATCAACTGTGGGAGCAATTATCAGAAAATGGAAGACATACAAGACCACTGATAATCTCCCTCGATCTGGGGCTCCACGCAAGATCTCATCCTGTGGGGTCAAAATGATCATTAGAACAATGATCAAAAATCCCAGAACCTGTGTACCCTGACAGGCCTTGACATTAAGGTTTGTCAGCCACAAGTACCATTTATATTTTACTTGCCCAATGTCAAAAGTTACTTGCCCAAATATTTCTCAATACAATGAGTTAACAAGAGTTTGGCAATAGACCTGGTGAATGACCTGCAGAGGGCTGGGACCAAAGTAACAAAGGTTACCATCAGTAACACGCTACGACGACAGACTGCAAACTAAGCCCAGACGGACTGAAGCCAAAGTGAATTACAATACAGACAATATAATTTAGCATGCAGCATATAATCAAGCCACAAACGATTGAATTGATTGAAAGTTATAACTTAAGTTACATTTCAATATCAGTCTCCTTCACTTTGTTCCACATGTTGTGTCTTCAGACCTGGTTCTGGACAAGTTTCCATGTGTTTACCAAGATTTGACTCTCCTGTATGGATCCTCTGATGACGTTTGAGATGAGTTCTCTGAGTAAAACTCTGATCACAAACGTCACAGCTGAAGGGCTTCTCTCCAGTGTGGATTCTGCTGTGGCTCTTGAGATGTGTTGCTTGAGAAAAACAGTGTCCACACAGGCCACACTCGTATGGTTTTTCTCCAGTGTGGATTCTGCTGTGGCTCTTGAGATGTGATGCTCGAGAAAAACAGTGTCCACACAGGCCACACTCGTATGGTTTTTCTCCAGTGTGGATTCTGTAGTGCTTAGTGAGGTGAGATAAATGTGTAAAAGTCTTCTCACACTGGTAACATGGGTGATGTCTCTCTCCTGTGTGGACACGCTGATGTTGTGAGAGCAGCTCTTTGATCCTAAATGTTTTTTCGCACTGGTCACATTCAAATGGTTTCTCTCCTGTGTGGATGCTCTGATGATTTTTGAGAGTACTCTCATGTCTAAAACTCTGATCACAAACGTCACAGATGAAGGGCTTTTCTCCAGTGTGGATTCTGCTGTGGATCTTTAGATGTGCTGCTCGAGAAAAACCTGTTCCACACAGACCACACTCGTATGGTTTTTCTCCAGTGTGGATTCTGCTGTGGCGCTTTAGATGTGATGCTCGAGAAAAACCTGTTCCACACAGACCACACTCGTATGGTTTTTCTCCAGTGTGGATTCTACTGTGCATCTTGAGATCTCCTTTTGTAGCAAAACCTGTTCCACACAGATCACACTCGTATGGTTTTTCTCCAGTGTGAATTCTGCTGTGGATCTTTAGTGCAGAAGCAGATCTGCAGGTCCTTCCACACTGGTCACAGGTGAACACCATTCTGATGGACTTTGTAGATCTGAAACACAACAAAGAGATGTCAGATAACATAATGTCAGATAGGATAATATATTTTGATATTGATGACAAAGAACACACACAAATGTACTTTTCCCCATCTTTCATAGAAAGGGTGTAAAACCAAACAATTTACAAAAACGTCAGTGAGGTTTTAGTGTGAACCACATTCCTAAAATCTTACAATTTAGGTTTAAATGTAAAAAAAAGATGATCAAATCCTTTGTTAAATGAAGTGAGAAATAGTGTATTTGTATCTGTAAGATTGGGGTAGGGGTTTAAATATGACTTGGTCTTCATCCTACTCCTGTCGTTTATGTGACTAATGTTATATAAGATAGCATCAGCCCCTCACTGATCCTGTGGTGAGTCCACAGGAGGACGGCTGCTCTGTGAGCATAGCCTTGATCTTTTAGTGGGGGCTTCGAGCAAAGTGGGGTTAAGTGTCTTGCCCAAGGACACAACGGCAGCAGTCATCAGTGGGAGTCTGTGGGATCGAACCAACAACCTTAAGGCCTAAAAGCCAATGCTCTACCAACTGAGCTACTGTCGCCACAGTAGCTTTGGTTTTGTAATTTTGTAATTTATGAGTCTAAAATAAGAAGTCTTCTTCTCGCACTTTGACCGGTCTACAGTCGAGTGCAATCCAGTGAGCCAGCCTTAAAGCTGTCACCTGATGGAGTGTGGCTTGGATACACACTCCTGATGACACCACCAAGAGGGAGCATGTACAAGTTAACTCATTCACTGCCATTGACGTTTTCTTTCTATGGCACGTCAAGGCTCTTGTGCATCCTTTGTCAACATTTCAGACCTGTAAACACTTTGGAACCGATCCTGTAGGGGGCAGAAGTGACACTGTGGCCAGATCTAGTGAGGGAGAAGGGGGCATGTGGTGCTGTGAGCTGCAAACAGCCAGAGGAGCGGCCATGCTTACATAAAAGGACCGCGGACCTGAGAACCCCACGCAGCTAACGCTGTCTGAGAGCCTGTTCAGTCATCAAACTGATAAATATGAAGCAGCTAGATGCCACGATGCTAGTTCTTCAGGTTTTAGTTAACATGAGACTCCAGGATCCTCGGAGCCTTCCCCCTCCTTCCCTCCTCGTCCAGCAGCAGCAGCAGCAGCAGCGGCTCCTCCCCCCTTTGTAATGTGGTAAGTTGCTTTTCACTTCAACATGTTGCATTTACAAGTTTATTTCTCCCCTTTGTCTAATGTACTATCAGCCCCTCCAGGATTTTGCGTGCAATTGTTGATTGATGAATAATTATTGCGGGGTAAAATGCTTGACTACGCGGGACATTTTTCCAAAAGTTTCACTGTTGAGTTTGGAGGCGTGTGAATCTGGCATGCAGCATTAGCTGCCAGGGAGCTATGGATGATGTTACCGTGTGGTTTATAGAAGGGACAGGGGAAGGTGATCCATGGCAGACCGGTGAGCGGGACCCATGATGAGCAACAAGTGTTAGATTTACCGCACCATGTTGTGCATTCTGCTGCGGTGCGTCTCACTGTGGAGGGTGCGTCAGGAGCGCGCCCGCTGCTGCTTTGGAACAGGGGGAGAGAGACTGATGGTGTTTTCAGACCGGGACAGTCGTTGCATCTGCGTTCAATGCAAAGTCAATGGGGAGTCGCGTTTCAGCGTCGCATTGCACGGACCTCTCGGCACACACGCACGGACCGCCCAGTAGAAACGCACGGACTTGGCGGGAAAGTCAAAGGGGAGGAGAAGGAGCGGAAAATGAACGCCCACAGGAGATGGATTCCGCTCAACTTTTCCTCGAGATGTTCGTGCAGCGACCAATCAGAGAGCACGCACACCACTGACGTAATCACGCCACTACACAGTGTATATTTTCCCCATTGTGAGCCAGGAACCGGTCATTTAAACACGCCATTGCGCAGCAGCTCAACCTCCCTGGTAAGTTTTTTGAGTATCATTCATTCGTAAATTGGTTCTTGTTTATGCTCGTTTTTCGAGGGGAAATTCTGACTAGTATCTGATTCTTTGCAGTCGAATTTTGCAAGAAGCGATGGCGGTCACTACGTGACACTTATATGAAAAGGAAAAAAGACATACAGAGGAGTGGCTCTGCAGCGGGGACCGCGAAGTGGAGGTACGCAAGTGCCCTTTCGTTCCTCGACCCTTCCATTACCCCGCGCCCCACCACCAGCAATATGGGTAGGGTGGAGGAAGGACCCGCTGTTGAAGAGGCCTCTGCGCGACCTGAAGGTTTGTACTGGGTTGAAATGGGGACATTTTACTATATGAAATTTATATCACGTCATGCTATACTATGGCCATATCTGCAATGGTATTGCTTTCTGTAAT